TGCAATATTTATGATTATTTGCTATCCACGTGCGGGGCGAAAAAACGCTCAGAAACAAAAAAAAAAGATGAGTCTCTGCTTGTTTATCGCTTACATATTATTTACCCAATAGGTATATGTAATAAAGTTCATATTTTTTTTGCAAAATTGGTGAGTTTGGGTGTTATTTTGATTAACCGTGTTTTCGATTATTCAGCAATGGATTGGTCCCGGATAATCGAGATTCTACTGTAAATATTTAAATTTCTCATCATCAATACTCCCAGTTTCCCAAATTTTGTCAAGTTGCCATGTTACTGAACAAAAATATAATCAAAATACTAAACAAAAATTTTATTTTTGAGCGCCCTGTATCAAGATTTAGGTATGAAAATTTTTGTATTCTGTATTTTGAAAACAAAGGCTCTAAAGACAAAATTTTCTTAAATTTGGACAAAGAATTATTTCTTCATTTTCCTCTCTTCTATGTATGTCACATTAATTTTACTAGACTGCCTACTTTTCACGAAAAAACGAGTTTCTTAAAAGTCTTATTACATACCGGGTGTCCCATTTTAATTGATACACGTAAATATCTCGTCAGAGAAGCCACCAATCGAAAAATGGCCTACAGTAAAAGTTGTTCAGTTCACTGGGAGAAACCAGCTGCTTAAATAGGATTTCCCCTTGAAGGTCTATGAAGGTCAACTTCGGAATCTTAAATGGGATCCCCTATTTTTAACATTGGAAATGGATTCAGCAGAAAATTTTACATTCGGATATGATCATACTTTGACCTTGAGGCCAAGGTCACAACGAGTTTAATTGATTCCTCACCCTTGAAGCAGTCTCGGAATAAGATGTTGACCTCCAGAATCGATGGGATTTACATCAAGGTACTTAATCACGACCTTCGTTTCGTCCTTGACCTCCACTTTGTCAAGGCCATTTGAAGGTTGACTAACAATTGTAGGAAAAAATAATGCTACGAACGAGTGAGGATAAAAATACCTAGTTACTTAACGTAGGTATAACTTCGCTCGAGAATTGAAAAAAGAGATATCTGAGTATGTTACAAAGTAAAACTGACTGACGGTGAAAAATTGAGAAAAAATAAAAATATCACACTACTATTTGTGAGCAATTGAATAATGTTGTCATTACGTTAGTATTCGGAATTTAAATCGTCACCTGATCATCAAATGAACTTTTTATTTGATCCCTTACTTTGCAGCGTACTTGGATACAAATTTACCGTTTTCCCAATATCTGATCTAAGTAATATACGGCCTGGCAGAAAAGAAAACAAAGTGAACCTTCAAATTCAATCCTGAACATCTTTTACAACATTTGTAGAGGTGGAGGTCGATTTTTATAGTTGACCTTCAATTGACCTTGACAAAGTGGAGGTCAAGGACGAATTGAAGGTCGTGATTGAGTACGTTGATGTAAATCCCATCGATTCTGGAAGTCAACATCTTATTCCAAGGCTGCTTCAAGGGTGACGAATCATTTAAACCCGTTGTGACCTTGACCTCAAGGGCAGAGATGTAAAACTTTCTGCTGAATCCATTTCCAAGGTTAAAAATAGGGGGTCCCATTTAAAATTCCGAAGTTGACCTTCAAGGTGAGTCAAGGTCAAATCCTAGGTAAGCATCTGGTTTCCTCCAGTGAACTGAACAACTTTTACTGTAAGCCATTTTTCGATTGGTGGCTTCTCTGACGAGATATTTACGTGTATCAACTAAAATGGGACACCCGGTTTATTATTTAATTTATAGTTTAAATTAGTCAAAATTTGTTTTATTTGTTTTTGTTTTTTATCTCTGTTACCTTCTTTAAAGTTTAAAGTTCCTTTTAAAGTTTGGAAATTCTGAAAAATTTTAAAATGCAGATGATACGGAGTTTTATTCACTCCAAGGAACGGTAATAGCCCGGGAGGCAGCGACATTATTGATGTAATTATTCCTACAAAGCTGATTTTTTCTCATTTTGTTGTTTTGATATCGTAAGTAAACGGAACGGCAGTCTACCGCGCCAATGTGGGGGCAAACGTTAGTAACAATTTTTTAAACATGTAAATAAATAATACTTAAATGCCTTATACCTACAAGGCTGAAACTTTTTAGAGTGATCAATTATACCTAAAAATACAGTATAGTGATAGTCTACCGCGTCGGAAGGGGGGCCATCAAGGGTCTACCACCCACGCAAGGTGTTGAAAAATTAACTTTTTTGACTTATTTCTACAAGGCTGAATTTTTTTCTCAAATACTTTAGTTTATAAGAGAACCAAAAAAAAACAGTCTACCGATCATCTAAGGGTGCAAAGCCTTGATAGACGCAATGGAATGCACGATCTCCCGAGCGCAGTCGCTGCGCCGATTCACTGTAAGCCGCTCTGAATAATAACTCATACCGGGATTAAATTACAATCTACAAAGCTGCTTTTTTGTCTATAGATATCTTACAATAATTATTGTCAAATAAACGTCTTATACCTTCGATACGAGGTGGCTAAAGCTTCGGTAGACGTGGCGAAAGTTTTTGCGCGGAAGTTGCTTAAAATTCCAAATTTATTATTAATTATAATTTTTTGAGCTTACACCATTATTTAAACGTATGATATAGTAACAACGAGCGAGCGTTAGCGAGCGAGATTTTTGCTAGTATAATAGGTATTAACAAAAGTTAAAAAATTTTTTTTTTCAAATAACTGACCTTTTTCTTTTTTAACATTGAATAATTAAATTTATTTCACTTTTACTTATAATTTATAACAATAATACTTTTCGATAATAGCGCGCGAAATGCTTGATTTGCGATTCATCATCACATTCGTCAATTACACTCGTGCGAGAATTATTCTATCGCACTAGTATCGAACAATATTTTACGACACTTATTTATAAAATAAATGATAACAACGCAAATGTTTTTTATTACAACAATATAGTAATTATATAAAAAATAAATATATTTTTCTTATTCCTCATCGCTACTGACATTTGATTCCTCATCGCCTTCCATATCATCACTATCTTCATCCTCATCATCTTTCTGGTCACACACTCCATCATTTTCTTTAAGGTATTGACAACCGTCATTTGCAATTTCTGTATCTGCAAATAGCAATATATTATTAAATATTTATTATATTATGCTAACATAAATTCACCCCCTTTAGGGTCTGAAAGTCATTTTTTAATTGAGTTTTAGACTTCCTTAAAATGCAAATATGTGTACCTGAATCTTTATCGTTCTGTAGATCAAACGTCACATCATCGATTGACTGAGGCAATTGGTCGCCACTAAACCAATTAAAATCATATCTTGCATTCTCATCCACTTTCCAGCCACAGTCGAGTGGGGATAATGTTGTAGGCTCTTTTAAGTGAGCATTACTCCAAATTTGTGCAATATATGCTGTTCGGAGTATGTGTTCTCGGAGCTCTGATTGACAAGGTGGTAAAGCAGATGCATCGAAACTCTTGACCTTTTGACGAAAGATTTTATCGTTAGTAGTTTTGTAAGCTTTCAAAAACATCACTGATCGATGTGACGTTTGATCTACAGAACGATAAAGATTCAGGTACACATATTTGCATTTTAAGGAGGTCTAAAACTCAATTAAAAAATGACTTTCAGACCCTAAAGGGGGTGAATTTATGTTAGCATAATATAATAAATATTTAATAATATATTGCTATTTGCAGATACAGAAATTGCAAATGACGGTTGTCAATACCTTAAAGAAAATGATGGAGTGTGTGACCAGAAAGATGATGAGGATGAAGATAGTGATGATATGGAAGGCGATGAGGAATCAAATGTCAGTAGCGATGAGGAATAAGAAAAATATATTTATTTTTTATATAATTACTATATTGTTGTAATAAAAAACATTTGCGTTGTTATCATTTATTTTATAAATAAGTGTCGTAAAATATTGTTCGATACTAGTGCGATAGAATAATTCTCGCACGAGTGTAATTGACGAATGTGATGATGAATCGCAAATCAAGCATTTCGCGCGCTATTATCGAAAAGTATTATTGTTATAAATTATAAGTAAAAGTGAAATAAATTTAATTATTCAATGTTAAAAAAGAAAAAGGTCAGTTATTTGAAAAAAAAAATTTTTGAACTTTTGTTAATACCTATTATACTAGCAAAAATCTCGCTCGCTAACGCTCGCTCGTTGTTACTATATCATACGTTTAAATAATGGTGTAAGCTCAAAAAACTGTAATTAATAATAAATTTGGAATTTTAAGCAACTTCCGCGCAAAAACTTTCGCCACGTCTACCGAAGCTTTAGCCACCTCGTATCGAAGGTATAAGACGTTTATTTGACAATAATTATTGTAAGATATCTATAGACAAAAAAGCAGCTTTGTAGATTGTAATTTAATCCCGGTATGAGTTATTATTCAGAGCGGCTTACAGTGAATCGGCGCAGCGACTGCGCTCGGGAGATCGTGCATTCCATTGCGTCTATCAAGGCTTTGCACCCTTAGATGATCGGTAGACTGTTTTTTTTTTGGTTCTCTTATAAACTAAAGTATTTGAGAAAAAAATTCAGCCTTGTAGAAATAAGTCAAAAAAGTTAATTTTTCAACACCTTGCGTGGGTGGTAGACCCTTGATGGCCCCCCTTCCGACGCGGTAGACTATCACTATACTGTATTTTTAGGTATAATTGATCACTCTAAAAAGTTGCAGCCTTGTAGGTATAAGGCATTTAAGTATTATTTATTTACGTTTAAAAAATTGTTACTAACGTTTGCCCCCACATTGGCGCGGTAGACTGCCGTTCCGTTTACTTACGATATCAAAACAACAAAGTGAGAAAAAATCAGCTTTGTAGGAATTGGTGCAAAATTTCTGTCGCTGCCTCCCGGACTATAATGATTACAATGAAAGTAGTACAAGAAAGTCAGGATATTCTGTGATTGTCATTGATTTAATTATATTAAATGACTAACCATTTAACTAAAAAAATAGAATAAAGCAAAGATGTGATTACTTCTGAGTTTAATAAACATGTAAAATATTAATCTTCTAATAACTTAAGCAAGACTAATTCCAACAATTTTTTTTTACATATTAAACGGCTTTTAATTTTAAAATTGTCCCAAAAAAGTCTTATAGTGGTATTTGGATAGTTGAAAGTGGAACGTGAAGTACGATAAAGGTCATGTCTTGTTGTCACTGAATGAAATCCATATATCTTTGATGCATGTACATTTTCAGTCGGACGATGAAGAAGACTCTGTAAAACAAGTTGCCGATGGTTCACAACAAAGGTTTGTCGCTCACGTACCAGTCCCGTCGCAGCAAGATATTGAGCAGGCACTTTTGAGGAGAAGAAAACAAGAACTATTAGAAAAATATGGTGTACAAGAAAATCAATAAATGTATATTTCAATTTTTTGTTTAAATACAATTGTAATGGATTAAGATAGTTATGAGTAAATATAATATTTTATATTTTTATCTTTGCTTCTGAACAATTTTTAACTTACCTAATCTATGGCAAATTTGGCTCGGGTTTCAATATACCACGACAAATCAATGTGAACTCTAATACGGAATCGGCCAGTTTTCTCTTGCTTGCTTTCTCTCTAAAAAGATAAAATTTTGTATTATAGTCCATCTAAAAATGTTAGAGTTAAATGAATGTACGCGGGAGCGCAAACGGCCCCATCTGTCATGCTGAGTCCCAACTGTGCCATTCAAATGGCTACAGTAGGAAGCGACCTGCTATATTTCAGGTACTTGTTGTACGACTGCCACCCATAGAGGGCGAAGACAATGTTTAATTGTCAGTGTTGCGAGAAACACCAGGCACAGACCAGTTTTGGACTTATTGTTGTGACGATTGGTGGGTTAAACTGACGAATGACCCTAGCTGTTGCACTAGGTATTGCGAGTATAATTCAATGCCGGTAGGGGCATATAGCCCTCGGAGTAGTTGTTTCCCACAACACTGACAATTAAAAAAAAGTTAAATGACTGATTAATTCCTAGGCATATACATGCGTATTGCCTTTTGGAAAGGGTTACAAATAATCAGTATATGGTAAATAATGGACGTCCCAAAATTCACGCAAGATTTGAATTTTGTACCATTTGTGCGGTAAAGTGTTGCCTACGAAAAAAAAAATAACGTAACAGCTTAGGGTTATTAAAAATGGAGTGCTACACGACAGAACAACACATTTTTATTATTAAGCAATATTTTAAAAATAATGATGGGTTGGCAGTTACAGTCCGCAATTTCCGTACAAAATGTGGTCGGAATAGTGATTTAACTTCATCAACTGTGAAGAGATTACAGTAGAACCTCCTTTGCATCCACAACGTGTCACTGTTTGGTGCTTATTTTAAGCTAGAGGTACCATCGGACCATTCTTTGAAAATGTGGCTGGCCAGGCAATAACAATTCTTGCTATCGCAACATGATAATTCAGTTTTTTTGTGCCTAAAATGCAAGATATAGATATAAACGGTATGTAATTTCAGCAAGATGGTGCCACATGACATAAAGCCCGAGAAACAATTCAATTACTGCACGAGTCATTTCCAGGTCGTGTAATTTCCCATTTTGTTAATCAGAATTGGCTGTCCAGATTATGCGATTTAACGCAGTTGGACTTTTTTCTTTGGGTTTTTTTGAAGCCTAAGGTGGCCAACGATCACTCATGCATTGAACGAGATAATTGAGGGCTGTATCAACAAAATTGAACCGCATTTATGCAAAACGGTCATAGAAAATTTTGACAAAAGAGTTTGTATGTACTAGCAAAGCTGTGGAGGCCAATTATCCGATACGGTATTCCATAGATAACCCTGCAGTGTTTATTTTACCAATCAATAACAAATTTACAATTTTTAATTAAAAACCTGTACCTATTTTCTATCAAAATTACTTCTTGCGTGAATTTTGGGACATACAGATACTTTTGTTTTAATAAAGCTCCATTGGCACTAATTCACATTTAAAAGAAGGGCAAACAATATGTCTTCAAAATTCTATTGTAACGGTGCCACTTGTTCAGCATGAAATTTTCGTTTTAAAATTAGTTTATTGCATTTTATGTGTAAAACACGAAGTAAATAAAAAGCTAACATACAGTAGAACACCGATTATCCATGCGGCGGATTCTTCCTGCGCTGCAATGTTTATGATTATCCGCTATCTGTGTGCGGATTATCCGTGGCGGGGTGAAAAAAGCAATTCAGAAATTAAAAAAATACGAGTCTCTGCTTTTTTATCGCATACATATGTACAAATGTATGTAATAGGTACGTGTAATAATATATTTTTTGCAAAATTGGTGAGTTTAGGCGTTATTTTAATTAACCGTGTTTTCAATTATCCAGCAACGGTTCGGTCTTGGTCGTCCCAGATAATCAAGGTTCTACTGTACTTCCTAATTTAATGGGAAATTTCAGAACAAAGCATGACACCATTGTTCTGCCTGTTCATGTCTCAAGAATTTTTACATGGACTTTGTACCAACCTTAACACTGATTTTACAAAGGCTTCCTTTTGTTGAGTACCAATTTTAGGAGAAGGAAAACCTTCTTGGGCTAAAAGGGTGTTTAACCACCTACTTAAATTATCACAGTATTTCTTGTTTAACGCAAGAAGTATATCACTAAAAACGTCTACGGAGGCTCGTGGAGCAGTACTACCTAAAAATAAATTAGTTACATGCTGGGATATATAAGCGGGCAAAAGATTTCAGGACTACATTTATGTTCAAATGAGAAAATTTTTTGCTTTTTCTTTTCGTTTAGAAGTTACCTACAGTTATATATCGAAAAATAAACACAAAAACTCAAATTAGATGTAAGGTAGACAAGTACTTCATGGGAGTGAAACGACAAACCCCTGTTGTTTAAAGATTTTAATCATTATCAGATCCCAATACTTCACACATTACGTTACTTCAGAAGTGACAGACATGTTAGTAAATCAATAACGTGACCAATAATTTTGTTTGGAACAATAATTTTATTTCATTCATGTTGGTAATTAAATTTCGGTAAAATTAAAAATTATTAAAACAATAATATCAAGATTACATTCGAACACAATGATTGATTGGTGTAATTTTTCGCGCGATTTTATTCAATGAATTAGCAATCACATTATCTCGAGTGCAGACCTTACGGTTTGCCATTGTTCATTGTAAATGATTCATTAATATTGATTATGAGATATAGGGTGTTGAAAATTTTAAGATATATTTGAAATAATTTTGGAAGAGTCAATGTTAGTTCTTAAAATTTGGCAGTTATTGTACGTTGGTAAAGAGCTGCATTTTTAGTAAAAAGGCAATTTTTATCTGCCACCAATGGCGTAGTTAGGTGTGAATCAGTCAACATTTTCGTTATAAAATGTAGAACGCCAATGGATTTTTTTTTTTTTTAAAGACGTCTTGAATTTTGTGTGTTGAATATTAACCTATTTTTAGAAAAAAAATAACTTATTTATGTATTTAATTCAGCGGTACTTTTTTGGTACCGAGATTATTGTCATTTTGCTAGTTATAAGTTGTCAATCAAAACTGTGGATTAGACAATAAAAATGTCAAAAAAGAATAAGTTTACCAATGCTGAAATAACTCAGATGCATTTCATTATCGGCTTAGCAAATGGGAATGTGGAAGAAGCACGGCGAATTTATCAGGAATGTTATCCTAACAGAGTAACGCCATGTGCTAACACATTTAGAAAGTTACATCTCAAATTGAGTGAAAATGATAGTTTTAAGCAGGCAGACTTTCAACAGTGTCACTCTCAGAGTTAGAAGAAGCTATACTTCGAGAGATAGAAGATTCTTCGACCAGTACCAGAAAGATAGGCCATTTTAATCCCTACATGATCTTGGGTAGTCAACCGACCTCACATAAGATACATCATCTGAACGTAAAACTTTCCGCTCTTTCCGCATTCAGAGTCAAAAATAGGGATTCCTATTAAAAAAACCAAGTTGACCGTCAAGGTCATAAGCAATGTCACCATAACATGTCCCCCTCCCAAGTCCAGTAACTTTTGTCTCAAACATTTTTTGCTAAACTTTACCTGGGCGTACCCTGTATAAGTCCAAAGACCTTTGGAAAGTTTTGATAGTTTGTCTACTATTCCCATACCACATACAACGGGTACAAACTCTGCTACCCCGTGATTTTCAGCCAAGGCTAGATTTTAGTAGGTGGTTACTCCATACGTTTCACATAATAACAATTTTTTGACGAGAATATTATTAACTGATGAGGGAACTTTTTCTCGAGAAGCAATTATTAATTTTCATAATGAACATTTTTAGGCAGACGAAATCCGCATCCAATAAGAGGTAGTCGTTTTCAGCAATCATTTTCTCTGAATATATGAATAGGGATTATTCATGACTATCTTATTGGACCACACTTTTTACCAGGTCAATTAACTGGTGACTCATATAGACAGTTTCTAGCCGAGGAACTAAATGTTCTATTAGAAGATATACCTCCACACGTAAGAGCTAATTTCTGGTTTATACATGACGGTGCCCCAGCTCATTTCAGCCTTGTTGCTTGTCAGTACCTTGACAATACCTTTCCTAATCGCTGGATTGGACGTGCAAGTCCTCAAGCTTGGCCAGCTCGCAGTCCTGATATGAATTCTTGCTACTTTTATGTATGGTGTCACCTCAAGTCTCTTGTGTATAAGACACCTGTACTAGATGATAATGAGTTACGACTGGAGTAGCGTGTTTTATCAGAAGGTTGCCATTTTCAACATCTTTGATTTTCTGTTAAAACTGATTATTTCTATAATTGTTGTTTGTAGTTGCCAGCCATTTTCCTAATAGGTTACTATTAAATTCATTACACCTTTTTTATTATAAAATATTAGGCGAGTCCAAAAATAATAAAAATTTAAAAATCTAAGTGTTTCCCACCACATGTTTATAGGAACTTTTTTTCTTTAAATACCATAAGAAACTGTGTCCTGAAGTTACGGACCACACTTAGGAAACACTCTGTATGTGTTTTGTATTATTTATATTTAAACATCATTTTTATAATCATCTGTTGGTGTAATTCAATGCTAGTTGGGGCTTGCAGCTCATAGAGTAATTGCCTCCCACAAAATCAGCAGTTAAGAATCTTGCCTGTGGAGTAGACCAATTGTTTGACTTCATTTGATCAGATTCTTTAAAAAAATTGTGAATTTGTTTGAATTAGCTTAATACCTTTACAACACCGTAAGAATAAGAGAGCTAATAGAATATGTTTTAATAAAAGTAGAAACTGTTCATCTTTTTTTTTTTTAAATATTAAAATCTAAATGGAACTGCAAAAAAGATTATAACAGTCCTTGATAAACTTGCATTTTAATGCTAATATTAAAATTTTCTTATAATAGTAAAAATTACCTAAATTCATTAAAATCCTTAAAACTAAACTTTCTCCATAAGTTTGTACAACATCAGCTTGGGACGTTTCTCGACTTTGAGACACAAAATGTACCAAAAAACTTGACACTGCCTTCAGAGTTTGAATTTCTGGTAATGCCAGGCATAAAATTGCTACAAGAATAATGATAAATATTTTAATTTTGTGCCTAATAACACAGTAAACCTACCACACTGAAAAAGGGCGCAGGTGTCTATTCCACTAACATTAATTAATTGGGGAACCTTCTTGGCTAAGGTACCTAACATGGAAAAGAATCCTTCTAAAACATCAGATTTCTCTGACAACTGGTTGTTTGTATTGTACTGTGCACAAACTTGCAAAGTAGAGTTTACAATTTCATGAAGAAGTTGTTGGTTCATTGCATTAAATTGTTCTTCCTTGCCAAACAATATTAAAACCTAAAACAAAATTGAAATTTCTAAAAAAAAGTCCGACAGATTAAAAACATAGATACAGAAATATTGTTTCTTCATGAGAAAAAAAGTCAGTCGTACCTAAGTTAAAAAAAAAATTGCTTCCCTGTTTGCTTCGAGTGTGTACTTCAAGCAATGATATGCTATTTAAAGAAATTTATAAATGTCTCGTGATGACATATACTGTGATGGAGCAGTAATAAAAAAGGGTGTCCTTGCCCATGCAATTTATTTATGTAACACAAAAGTGATCAACAACATACTTACCGTTTTTGCGACTACTAAAATATTAGATTGCGGACATTCCCTATAAACTGTAACAATCAACTGGAGAATATCATTTATCAGAGGCTTACAGTCTTCTTTTAGAGTGGTAACACAATACTTGAATACGATACTCAGATCCTAAAATGGTAACATTATTTTCTATGCAAAATAACTTAATTTCGGTTTACCTCCATCACTTCTGGATTTCTGCAATACTTTTCCCCTATGATGCGATATAATGGCATCGTGTTTTGCATTAAGAGTAAAATCGGTTGTTCTATATTTTCTTGAGTTTCTACGTGAAGAGAACTAAACAAGGCAGCTAAAATTTTCAGTCTTGTAACTAAGGAAGTTGTTACACTAGGAGACTGGAACAAAATAAACAACCATTATAAAACAACTAAAAATTAAATTTCAAAATGCGACGTCAATTTTATCAAATTTTTCAGTGGATTAAAAAACAGTTTCTTGACTAAGCTATTTTATCGTAGAATAGCATAGTTGTAGGGATGGCCAAAGCAGCCCTTTTGTAGGAACAATTGTTCTTTACTCCGACTACGACTGTACAATGCTGCTGAGGTACAAGATATAATTTACTATAAGGAAGACTTCTTAAAACAAATTTTTATTGTTAACAGTACTAGTTTCCATCGATATTTAAACCAACTTTTATCCTAAATGCAACAAAAAATAACAAAACATATACATACAACTCCCATTTCTTTTATTGCTGTCATAGTAAACTATTAAAAGGCTTAAGTTATAAAATTATCGTATCTGTTCTTCAAACCATACAGATCTAATAGCAGGTTATAATTTTAAGAGTGTGAACTGAACTACTAATCTGTCAATCGCAATCTGTGACAGAAACTCTTAAATAGTGATTAAAAAACTGTACCGAACAAGCAATTTACATTTATACATGTTAAGAGTAAAACCTGTTCCAAAAAGAACAGGTACTGCTCCGAAGTGCCATCCCTACTCAGTTATACCATTGATTTTACTACACTGTGGTTGTTGTACTAGTACTACAAGTTTAGTCTGTTTGAAAGTCCCCCACCTAAGTTACCCAGTCGTAGAAAACTGTAGCTTTTGTGCAGAAACTGTAGTATTTGTTTCCTCTACCTCTTCCAACCCAACCTTTTTGGAAAATATCGATTAAAACCATAACATTGAGGTTATGTAACTTCCTTGAAAAAAGAGTGTCATAGGAAATTATATAATTTTATGAGTAGAATCACCCCCTGATTTGTTTGCATTGTTTCAGGAACACCCTATATAAACAAAATACTTATAAGCGAATAGCAATAAATATCATTGGAAATCCTAAAAAAAATAATAAAGCAGCGAAATGAGTCTTTATTAGAATACCTATTTAATTTATTTATTGTGCAAATACTTTTAAATATTTTAAGAAAATATTTTAAAATATCAATTTTTGTACTTCGCAAATTATGTATGTGTTGTATACTGCTTGTACTCGTATTAAAACCTGTTTTAGTGTTGCTTCATATCTGATTATACAGGTAGTTTTTTTTTTTAATATTTTATTATGAGTATTTAGTAATTGTTTTTCTTTGATAAGGCATTTTTTGACTTACCGGTTCGGCATGAGCAAGCTTTTGTAAATCATCAAATGACGGAGCCAGAATCATATTTAAGTAACCCATAATCCTGTTTACTGGCAATATACTTAACACTCTTCCTATACTGTACATCAGTCTTCGGCATTCTGCCAATTTTAACAGCCCGCATTGCAACGCAGACTAAAAAAAACAAATATATCGAGTCGCCACTGAAATATAAAAAAAAAAGATAAAAAATTATTACCTGAGAAGTGATTAAAATATGATCGGCAAAAGGGATTAAAAAACTTTGACAATTATGACATATGTCTTTAAGGGCCATCGTTGCACTTGTTGATACTTCCGGGTTACCCAGTGCAGATAGAATTAATGGAAATACATTTTGTAACATATCGGGGTGATCTAAGAACCATTCAGAGTAGGCACCTAGAACATAAGATGTTAATATTTAAATTTTTTTATATTATTGTTTGTTGTTATTGTTAATGTAATATTTTGTTGGTTGAACTAGCAAATTTGTTTTATTCTAACAGAATTAACTGATTTAAAGGAATTAATGTACAGGCAGTCATCAGGTTACGTCGTTTCGACTTAAGTCGCTTCAAGTTGTGTTGAACAATATTTTACACCAGTCCTCAATCTAATGTCAATGGGCTCTTTCACTTGAGCGATCATCGATGTTGCAAGCCTTTGGCTATTTACAGAATGCCATGAATATTTTTAAGAAAAATGATCTAAATTTTGGAAGAAATTGTTAATAACAAAATTATTACTTCCTGTCAGTGTTATCGAGAAATGTATGAAAACAAGAGAAGAAGAAGCGAAACAAACTCAAATCGATACGATTTTTAAACCAATGGTTTAGTTTTTATTATAGTTCTTCTATTTTTTCAATTGTGCAATAAGTATTTACCAAATATACAGTTGTTTTATAAATAAAGTTCGATTATTTAATATTAATATATAGTTTTTTACATTATATGTTCTGATAGAACCTAATTCCTTCACTAGAAATGGATGAACGACAATGTATCGACTTACATCATTTATTTTACGAATTACACCAATCACAGCCGATGTAATAGATTTCTGTGTCAGCAAACCTAGAAATTGTAATCACCAGAGTAAATCCGAAATATAAATAAACGATTGATCTAGAAATTTTAAATTACATAACGTAGGTCCGCAAATGCTTCGTTTTCGAAATAGGGGGTGTCAAAAAAAAAACAATGTTTTTTGTTGATAATTTCCAAACTTTTCATTAGACATCATTTAAATTTGGGTCAATACATTTATGATATGTAGGTTATAATTGGGCCATAGTGACAGCGCATGTTATTACATATATGTTTTTTTTAGTAGGTAATGTTTTCATACAAATTCACGGGCCGCTTCCACACATTTCCGTTTGTGGTCTTCCGTAAGCATTCTCGGGACCCATCTTGCACAAACCTTGGCATACCCTAAATAGTTTGTTAAAATTTTGTCAAATGCTGGTTTTGTTGACATCAGGTATCATCTCGCAGAGCTCCCAAACCATCAACCTTCGATCTTTCAGTATTGCTTCTTCTACTTTCGCAATTGTTTCGTCCAGAATGCTGTTCGTCATGGACGTCTGTACGTTCGTCTTTGAATTCTCCGCACCATCTGCGCACTTGTTGTACGCTCTTACACGTTTCTCTGTAGACATAGTTGGGAATGAATGTCCTCCGGAGCAGTTTTTTTTGCACACAACAAACGAATCACAGAGCGTAATTCACACCTGGCATGAGACGCGAGTGGGAGCTCCATCTCTAGTGGCTGCCAAGACTGACCGTCACAAACAGCTCGCCGGGGCGGGAAATGGGAGAGGGAGAACCAAGCTACACATCAGTATTGCCAGATCCTGAGTAACAGTGTTCCTCATGACTGCAGGTCCTTGGGAACCTTATTTTACAGACAACCGTCGTACATACCATAAATGTATTGACCCTAATTTAAACGATTTCCAATGAAAATTTATCAATAAAAACATATTTTTTTATTTTCTTGACATCCTCTATTTGGAAAACAAAACACTTGCGGACCTAGGTTTATAGGAATTTTATTTTATATTTTTGGATGTAAATTTCAACACTATGTATTTCGGAAACCAATGCCTTTTGGTTTATAAAGGGTTTTTTTGGTCTAAAATGATCCATTATATGAGCTTCAGGGCTTACGACAAACAGATTCGAAATGTCACAAATTTTCACTCACCAACAGTTTCCAAAGCAGTAGCCATGACCTTTGTGTGCAATTCATTAAACGGTATGCTTTTTATAGTAACCATTAACTTTGGCACATATAAATTTTCATACTCTATGCTCTCGGCTACCGCTCCAAAAGCATGTAAGACGGTTTCAACCTCGTTCCACTGTATGGGCTGTGTAATACCATTGCTGCTATCCTTTTGAAGAGACTCGACAAGCTTTGTATTCAATATATCCAACATTTCTAGATTAAGTACCACATAACAATACATAAATGTGTCTGCGATATCTTGTCGGTAACAGCGGAAGAGTTCTTTGTCATCCAGAGACCATCTAATATCATCCACGTTGGGAAACATAGATTTCCTTAACATGATGCACACCAGGTCGCGATAATATGGTTTTATCATGAGTATCATTTGTGCACATTCTGCAGTTTCTAATGATATTATATCATCCTAAAATTATATTTATACTACAATGGCTCTACATTAGAATGACTGATAATCAAAAGCTTAGAAGAACTGACAGTGATTACTTACTTGCAACGTGTACCAAAAACCAAATGTAAGTGTACTACTAGATTCATCAACAGGGTACAATCCAGGCAGATTAGTACATTTTAAAATTGAGTTGAACAGATCAAAACTAATTCTTTGTTCCTCTGGATTTTGCGATTTTAAATTATGAATGAAAATTTTCGAATGGGTATCTGCTATGGTTATTATTAAACCATATAAATTAGCCACTACGTCCTATAAAAACACATTTTAAATATTTACAAAACAGTATTTACCCATTTACAAACCTTATTTAACTCTGGCAAATTTCTTTCAGCATCTAAAATTTTATCAAATTTATATAAGATTTGAGCTGCATATTTGGTAATATGATTTTTATATTTATTTGTATGGGGATGCTGTATAATAGCTGTTAATGCTTCTACTGTGACTTCCGATAATTCTATTTCTTCACCAGACAAACCGTCAGCATCACTTTTGTTCCTACAATATAACTAATTACATACGTTTTACCACCAATTTAAGCCAATTAAATACTCATCGAACCATTTGCAATAATATACTTTCAAGCATTTATTAAAAAAATATAAAAAACTATAAATGTATCTTACCAGTAAACAAAACATGTCAAATCAATCAATAAATCAATTACTGATGTACACTCATCTATATTTAAGCCGTCCAATTGAATCCAAGCTGCTGCACACCTGGTAGCATTCAAATATGTAGTTAAGTTGGACATGTCAAACCTGTAAGTGAAATGATGTAATTATCTTCCGAGTACCTAACTCAACTAATAACATTACCCAGCATTTGGTAGAGGCATTAAACACATTTCCACTACTTTTAAAATATCTTTAGATACCTCTTGAAGAACAGCTCGAACTCTATTCCTTTGGTTTAATGCTAAAACGGTACTTTGAAACTGAAATAAATACAGAATTTTATGTTACAATATAACTGAACGCATCTATACCACATCTTACTTCTTCTGGTATCACAGTTAATATTTCTAAAAGTATCCAAATGACCCTCTCTGGTTCCACATTAGGAAGATGTTGTGGTTGAAAGCTAGAAACGAGTTCTTCAAATGCATTTGGCCAATGCACTGGTATTGTATGGATAATGTAGGCTGATAACTGTAACAAAATGAATCCAACAAAGATTCAACTATGTTAAAAAAATGTCTTACTGTTATACACAAACGATTAAGAACTATTTTTGGACCCATTGCATAATTAATAATAGCTTCTAATATCCGTTTCTTTAATAGTTCATAATGATCTTCGGGAACTTCATTCCAGTGTTTCATTAATTTTGTGTGTAAAGTAGTAGCAGCAAAAAATTGAACTTCAGAACTCTAAAATAAGAAAACATATTGAAATATTTGTCAAAGCCAATCTTCTTTTATATTACTCTCTGAGGGCTAAGCAGTTCCCAGACAAAACTCCATGCTTGGGGAGAATTCTGAGCCTCAGTTAACCATTGATGTGCTTCGGCTTGCTGCTGATGGGCTTCAGTTCTATAAAATAAAGTCACAGCTTCTTCTAAATTATTTGCAGTATACTCCATATTGTGTTTCTAAATAAATTAAGTTCTTAAATTTCAGCTTAATTCTATATTTATTATTTGACACTTGTTTACTACATTTTACAAAATTAACAGATGATGAACTGAGAAATAATTTTCTACTTTATCTACAAAAAAGTCATAGCAAACGATACAAATAATTTCCATTATTGCAAAATATAAAAGAAATTGTATGAAATAAATTCTGTGACATTATTTTCATCAAAAAATTTAGAACATATATTAAAAACATATTTTTTTAAACCCGTAATACGATATTTTTTATAAAATATACCTATGTGTTTGTATTATAGTTAATAGTAATTCTAGACAAATTATATCGAATATCTATATAAATATGGAAATGTCATTTTTCATTAACCTCTTATCTTGTTTATTAATAGATATATCTATTTTAAAATGTCATTTTTAATTTATTGCAGTAGATTATTTAAAAGTATCAGGATCTGGAACTAAAATTGAAAATGATTTTAATAAACAATCATGTTATTAGAATATAATAGTCCGCGTATGGAATAAAGTGAATTCGAATTTTGAATATGTATTGTGACATTATAATAAACATTTGTAAATATTTACGTAAAGCAAAGTCCATTACAATAATAAAATTATAGATTTTATATATAGATTTTAGTATCCAACATGAAGTCATTTAGACTAATAGTACATCAGAAAAACTTTAGTGGTGAGTAATTCTTTATAATTTATTATAGAGCTTAATAGGTAACTTAATTGATATTTTTAAAGGATGTTCTAAATCTTTGTTTTATATCTGATCAAAGTTATGGTATATAAAATATTTTTTTTTTTAGATGAAGATTTGATTATAAACCAAAAAGATTATCCAGAAGCTAAAAGAAATCATATTGTTGAAATATATCATCCTCCTCCGCCCGAGGAGGAACATCAGAAAACTAAAAACAAACCTGATGTAGAGGAGGAGTTTCCTAGACTTCTGTTGCAAATAAAGTCATTTGGTAATGATTTGCTACAAACTAGGGAGACCATTAGCGTTGAACAGAGTATAGCTTCTGCTTTTGGTCTACAAACATATAAAAATGTTACCATAAGATTAGTAAATCCTGCTGATGTCGCATTGGATTCAATAGAATTAACTTTTAAGGACCAATATATGGGAAGATCAGAAATGTGGAGACTGAAAAACAGCTTGGTATGTATGTTGTAAATAAATATGGCTTTCATCATGTATTTTGTTTAATAATTATTTTATATAAATTAAAAATAGGATATCTTAAAAAGCTAGTACATAGTAACTTTCTATAGATCTACACTTACTTTAGGTTAACACGTGTGTATACATGAATAAAAAATTGGAATTTTGTGGTGGTGCTGTACGTTGTCAAGTATACGAAATGTGGGCCCAGGGGGACCGAGTAGCTTGTGGTGTCATTACTGATGACACTAAAGTCGTATTTCGTTCATCTACTGCTATGGTGTACATATTTTTGCAAATGTCATCAGAAATGTGGGATTTTGATATATATGGAGATCTTTATTTTGAAAAAGCGGTGAATGGTTTTCTCTCTGACTTGTTCATGAAATGGAAGAAAAATGGAAGCAATCACGAAGTAACCATTGTACTTTTCTCAAGAACGTTTTACGAGGCCAGCAGTTTAGAAGAGTTTCCTCAGCACATGAGGGAATGTCTACAAAAGGATTACAAAGGAAGATATTACGAGGACTTTTATAGGTTAATATTACTTTCTGAAATGCACAGCGTCATATACAGGGTACTATTAAAAGTAGGGGTTTCTTTTCTTAGTATATGATTATTTCTTAGGATTTTCAAATGAGACGATTTTCAAAATTTATAATATATTGTCATATGTATAATTTATAAAATACTTTTAATATCAAGTGTAGTGGAGAATCAATACTCTAAGCTGTAAATATAAAATCGTTTATAGTTCTGTAGAGTCAATAAACACTTCAAGCAAGACATCTAAAATCGTTAGTCATAGTTTTGTAGTTTATTTCCTTGAAATCTAATGTAGATTCGCTATATTCCAAACTTTGTCTCTAAGCTCAGTCTTAATTGTAATTGTAATAGCATATATTTCGTTGTAGTTCCTCGAAAACTAATGGAGAGTCAGTATATGTACTTTAAGTTGTAGATATTCATTCTGCTGACACTCATCATAGATCAACAACATATTTACAATTTTACTATCATGAATATTCGATTTTGTAACTAATTTATTTCAATTTTAGGTTCACTTTAACACTATTTCTTTAATTGCTAACAAAATCAACTTTTAACTGTAAGTTAAATAACAATACTGTTCTTTCTTGAGGCTGATGTGTACAATTTATTATAGACACATGACAAATATCCTTGCAAATATCTGTCATAAAAAGTTTTACTAAGGTTTTCATTTAAAAAATTATTTATTTTTATACCTACAAATGTAAGGTTTAAAGAAAACCCCTCTTCCAATAACACCTTGTTTAGGCTGACTGAAAAGTATCTATATACATATTTATAAAATTATGTACTTACTTGATTTTGCAAATATACTAATTTAAATCTCATTGAAATTACAATGTACTTATTAGTGACTATTTTTGATTTATGAATTGAAAATATTTGAAATTTTTGTTAGAGTTGCTGTGCAAAACGAGCGTTATGATGACTGGAGCGGTTTCTTAGTACAACTGAGGCATATTTTCCAGAATTATCTAAAGGTGGTGTTAGAATATCATTCTAGACCAGATCAAGTCATTCCTGCTGCCACGAATAGCACGGCTGCCCAAGGAAATTTTTTAGAAGTTTTAAATATGTCTCTAAACGGTAGGAATTTTTTCTTAAATAATAAGATTGCTTCTATATCTATTTCTTTTAGTGTTTGAAAAACATTATTTAGATCGCAGTTTTGACAGAACAGGTCAGTTGAGTGTGGTGGTTACTCCTGGAGTAGGTGTATTCGAAGTTGATAGAGAGCTCACTAATATCACTAAACAAAGAATCATAGACAATGGTGTTGGCAGCGATTTGGTTTGTGTTGGTGAGCAACCCTTACATGCTGTTCCACTACTGAAGGTAATTTAATATAAGTTAATAAATACATACTTTTAATTAAACAGAATAGAAATTTTATTGAAATGTTTTGATTTTGAACCAAATGCTGATTAAAAACAAAAAGTAGGCTTTATCTAAAGCAGTATTAACGAAATTTGTGACTATAAAACCGTTATCGATTCCCCGACCAGTTTTGGTGATTCTTATCTCAGTAATCAGAAACCCTAGAAACGTGACTCCAACTTGATGGCTTTCTCTTTCTAAAAGGTTCATACATAACTCTAAACTCATGAAACGTCCATCGTGAATTCAGAAGAGCGGCTCTAATTGCAAGTGATTTAGCAGTGAATTTGATGTTTTATTTATTTTATTTCCAAGAATTTGTTATTTTTTTCAGTTCCACAATAAAGACACCCATTTAAATGTACCTGATGATTATTCGATGCCGCATTGGATAAATTTGTCATTTTACTCTACTAACAAGAAAATTGCTTATTCAAATTTCATTCCAAGAATCAAATTACCACCTCCACTCCCTGATGGAGATGTGAAAAAAGATTCACCGAGATCCAAACTTTTACCTGAAGATGAGTATATTCATAATTCTTTTTTCGACTATGACGCGTACGATGCCAAAATATTCCAAATGCCACCGGCATATCACTCCACAGAAAACAGGTAAGATGAAATATTATAGTACATCGTCAAAAACTTTTAATACCACTGTTTTGGGGTTGTAAAATTTAAAAAAGTCAAAGAATTTAGTTCGGATTTTTTTTTGTAGTACACTACATCACAAAGTACCACCTCGCTATAATCGATTTAAAAGAAGTTCAGGCAGTTTATTGGATTCACAGGATTTCACCAAAGGCCAGCGACGAAAAATGTCTGACCCTGACATTCCTCAAAGAATAAATTCAAACCCACGCTCGGAACCAATTGCCATACCCTCAGCTACTTACACTCCAGTTGTGTCTCCTCATGCAGATGGTAAAAATAAATACTTAATAATTTAATTCTTTTCTATTAGAAGCGCAAATTTCACAAGTTATTCTTATTTAATCTACATGTTTAGATAAATATGAAACAACATTGACCGAGAAAATATTAATGCTGGTTTCAAATATGAGTACCAATGTAATAACTTTCTTCTTTGTTTTTGTTATTGGTTTCATTCTTTCTTTTTGTCACTATAACTTTATTAACACAGGCATAATGTCCACGTTTTTAAATTTTAAAATGTACTGGCAAACTTTATTTAATTGTGTATCTCAATTAAGAATTGAGATAGACATAAATCAAAAACAAATTTTCCAGAAAATGTGGGACCACAGTTTGATCACAGCATAAGGAAACCAGCAAAACGACTCGAGCGTCGGCACTTTGATCTTTTTCAGACAGGTTTGCTTACCATGTTAAGCTGCACTTATGCTTCTCGGTTCCTATATCTCTCTCTAACATTCAGCAGGCCCATATTTAAAAATTATTTAATACAAACAAGAAGACATTTCTTGCTGTTTGCAAAGGTTTAATTAAACATATTTTGATTGCATTGCTTTACACAAAATGCATTAGAATGCAAATGCAAACAATTTATAATAATAATAATAATAATAATAATAATAACTTTATTTCGTGTATGCCATACAGGGTACGAAACGTCACAGGTAGATAAAATTTGATTTACAGAAAATTACATAAAAAGTAAATTTCAAACAAACAAGTTAAAATGTTAAAAATACAATTTTACATACATAGAATGGATCGAGACTTATAATACATTATATATACATATATACATATATACATACATATATACATACACACATACATATACACACACATACACATATACACACACACATACAAACGGTCAGATAGTACAAATCAGTAGCGTGCGTCTAAAAATTCATTTAGGGAATAAAAACTGTTGTCATAAAGGAACTCCAAAAATTCTTTTCTAAATTTAGTGAGACAAGTTATATTTTTTATTTGTTGCGGCAATTTGTTGTAGACTGTGCTACTCGCATAATATGGACTTTTCTTAAAAAGAGATAGTCTATAGTTGTCAACGTAAATATTGGATGCAGATCTAGTATCATGACTGTGAATACAGCTGCAGGACGGGAACAAATTTAAATGATTTTTCACAAACATACCTGCTTCATAAATGAAAATGGACGCAACTGTTAATATTTTATTTGTTTTAAATAATGGTCGACATGAATCATGTGGCTGATACGAAAAAATTAACCTTAATATTCTTTTTTGTAATATAAAAACTCTATGGATATCCCTCGATTGACCCCAATACAGGATCAAATATTTTAGATGTGAGTATACTAATGCATAATAGATATTTAGTAGATATTTTTTTTCAACAATGGACTTAAGATTTCGAATAACATAATATGAGGAATTTAGTTTCTTTAAAACGTATTCAATGTGTTTAGACCAAGATAAATTTTCATCTATGTGCAGTCCGAGAAACTTAGTGTGAGATACATTTTCAAGCGTAACATTCTCTATCGTTAATGTAAAATTTAATTGGGACAATAAACGTTCTTTACGAAACATAATATACTTAGTTTTACTAACATTAATAATCAGTCTATTTGATATACACCAAGCATGAAAGTTTGCAAGCACTGCATTCGCAATATTTTGCAGTAAAGCAGCTGAGTCAGATTTTAGACAGATGGTAGTATCATCAGCA